AGAACCCTTGTAGAGAGATTAAGGGTAAGTTTTTGGGGGTTCTCTGGTCGTGTTCTATGAAAAATGAGGAGAAAGACGATTTAAAACCCTCCCTATATATATCGACTTTTGAAAAGTCAAAGAGGTGCTAGCTTGGTACCCTAGCATTATCCCTTCTTCCGATGCTTATATTTTTTTATATGGATGTTATATGAACAAACGGTTAAGAGCGTTAGAAACTACATTCCAAGACCTTCAATTTGGTATATAATATGTCCCAAAAAGACCGCATATAGCACACGAAATGTATTTCTCAAAAAGCTTTATTGACACACCTATGCCGTCTACACGGTCTCGCAAAACTACAAATATCTCTCTACTCCTATGTCGTATCGACGAACTATTTAATGTTTTAGAAACTAGACTCGTAGATCTTCAATTTGGTAGGTAGATAATCCTCTAATTCCGAGTATATTGGGATAAAAGCTCATCAACATTTGACCTAAGTTTAACATATTTATGAATATAACTTGTGATGACATTTTCCAACTTTTGTTCTACAACTTGCTTGACATCAAGACATAACACACATCTATCATGCGACTAAAATAACTCATAACATAATCTCTTTATAAGTTTAAGCACCCTAGTCTCACCCCAAAAGTACATGTTATAACATTCCAGCTAGTCGACTTTCGACGAAACTTATTTTTTCCGATTTGTTTAGCTTCTAAGCCTTCCAACACTCTTGGTACTTGGTATTAGTGATCTTAAATATTTGTAACCTCCATGTTAACATGATTAACTTACTTTATGTCCTTTCAAATATGATCTTACTTCTGAGCTTACATCAGTTGATTTACGATGTACTCTCACGTATGAAAACATGGATTATAACAATTTCTCCTTCAAATTTCTCAGTCCGTTGATGTCTATGGTATAAGTGATTAGAGCTGGTGAACAGAAGAAGATAAGAACTATTGTGATACTTCGTGTAGATACCAATTGTATGTAGCTAGAAAGTTGAAGCGTATAAAGCCAATTGGTTAGCTGGATTGTACTACTTTAAACGTGAAAAGTCCAACTGATAAGAACGTATCATACAATAGTAACTATCATCATAGAGGAAACATTTCTTNGGGGCGGGGCGAGTTTATTCTTATGCGGGTGCAGGGCGGTGCGGGACGGGTTAAAATAATTTTTAAAATTTTTAAAGCGGGACGGGGCAGGTTGCGGGTTTAATGCGGAGAACCTGACGTACTTGATATCTATCCAATGTTATTTTGGTTAAAATAAACTTAAATAATCAAAATCCATATCTTATATGTACTTGATATCCATCCAGTGATCCAATATGCCAATTGAGAAATCTTAAATGATGATCACAAGCAATGATTTAATAATCATAGTTTCCAATGCATGCTAAGTTCGCTAATTAATTACCACCTGTTATGACTGAATCTTATGTTTTAAATATTTATTGTTGTTGTCTTAATTTATACTTTTTCCATGCTGAAATATTCTACATATACTTATATTTTCGACAAGTTAAAGAGGGGGGAACCTTCAACAGTCGAATGGAAATCCAGTCCAACTGAACTTGAATACTCATATTAACTAGTACTCCGTATATCCAAATGGAACAAAACATCTGATGTTTTTTTTTCTTATATTTTTTTTTTCTGACAAAAATTTCTTGAGTTTTGCTGTTAAATCTTGTGAACAGTTTCTTCTAGTTTCGAAATGGAAAAATTACTCTATTTGTCAGTTGGCCCAACATTCTAACAAAATTGGGCTTATATTTTCCCTTTTTACCCGGTATGGCCTAGTTTGTACATAAATTGAAAAATTATTTTCATCGATTAGCCACATTACTGTCCCCACTCTCTTTTTCTTTATGCGGAGGAATTTTTTTCATTCCCAATTCATAATTCTAATCAGTTTTCTCTTTCAGATTTTCTCTCCACCTCTCTTTCTCTTTCATTTTCAATTCGCTCCTGCTCTTTCTCTCTCTCTGGCAAAATAATCGAGTTCTTTTTCAGATTTTCTTGCTACGTTTCATCTGTATCTTCCTCTTCCACAAAATAATACTGTTGAACAATCCACAGCCGGATCTATCTTTTGTAGTCTTTTTCTTTTCGATTCAGTGCTCGCCGAAGCCGATTCCGACTTTGACATTAGAGGATCCTTTTATTTTCTGGTCGTTAGTGAATATACATATATTTGATTCATTCCTGGTACTTGAGTTTAGTGTCTTACTTGAGTTTGGTAATTGTTGAAGTTATACTGCTTTTGGCATTTTGGCGAATTTTGTTACATAAAATTGTACTGCTGGAATTAAACTTGTGGTTCATGTATTACCCAATGGTAAATGTTAGTTGTGCTGCTTTGCTTTATGAAGAAAAGCTGGGTTACATCCCGTTCGAAGAAAAAGAAAATATTGAGTGGTTATTTCTTTTATTCTTGTCACTTTTAATGACTTCCAAAGGGAGGAGGAATGATGTATATGTTGTGTATAACTATATATATTTTGTATAATCATGTATAACCATGTATATTTGTGTGTATTCTCATAGTTATACAAAATTATACATGATTATACACAAGTATACAAGATTATATATAATTATACAATATAGATAATTGTAAAAAATGTTTGAATTTCTTGCCTTCAGATAATGTCTATTATTATATATTTGTATATAATTAACGTATGACTATGTATAACAACGTATATAAGGTGTTTAATAATGTAAAATTTTATTTTTTTTCCAGTGAAATAAGAATTTCCCTTACAAAACTTTGAATTTTTCAAAAAAAAAATAAAATTATAGACTTTAAGGATGAATATATTTTTTACTTCAACTTCTTGATATTGTGAATTTTAGGAAATACTATACAGAGGGAAGTAAAAAATAAATAAGAATGAAAATGGAAAAAAGGAAAAGATAAAAATGAAATAAAAAAGCGAAATCTGATTTAGGCGTGAAAGATTGGAAAAGAAAAAAGTAATCAAAATGAGTAAAAGCTTGACAAAGTACGATGTGATTTATGGGTAAACAGTTGGCGAAGTTCGACGAAATTTGTGAGTTTGACTTGTTTTCAGAAAATTGATTAATGTTTGTGGGTCACTGGATGAAAACTGTATTTGTGGGTTAGGCGGGTGAAAAGTACTTCCTCTAACTGTATTTTCATGTAAATTTCCCTTTTGAAATCAATGTCACTTGTTATTTATGCTAATTAATGCCTCTTTTAGATTACCTTGGTAAATAACCTCTAACTCATCCTTTCTGGGCAAATCGCTTGCAAGAAAGTTTCTGGAAAAAAAAATTGGAGAAAAAAGAAAAAAAATTAAGTGGGGCGGGGCGGGGCAGGGCGGGTTGAAAACTAAAAAAATAGCTATGCG